GCACTTTTCCTTGTTAAATCCATCCCCACTGAAAATCCTGGAAAAAAAAAAAAAAAAAATCAGTGTGTCCATTACTACAGTCATAAAATTGGCTAAAACCAACTTTTAGCCCATAACCTTATACTATGACACTTTTAACTTTTTACCTTATCAAGTAGGTTTTAACCCCTCACCTTACAAAATTGGTAAGTTTTAGTCCCTCACCTTATATTATGACACTTTTAGCCTTTTATCTGTACGAATTGAAGAAAATAGCCCTTATTTAATATCATGTTATAATATTTTATTAGTTCTGTTAGCTGACTGTCAGTTTATTAGCTAATTGTCAGTTTTGTTAGCTGATTATTAGTTTTGTCAGCTGACTGCTAGTTCTGTTAGTTGACTATTAGCATCTGTTAGCATCCGTTAACATTTCATTAATGGAATTAACAAATAAAATTGAATTTAATTTAAATTTTATATTTTTTATAACGGAGTGCTAATGGATGTTAAGAGTCAACTAACAAAACTAATAGAACGTTATAATCATATGTTATGTGAGAGCTATTTTCCTTAATTCGTATCGGTAAGTGGCTAAAAATATCATAATAAAAGGTCATGAGTTAAAACCTACCAACTTTGTAACGTGAGAGGTTAAAACTTATCAACTTTGTAAAATAAAAGGTTAAAACTGTCATGTTGTAAGCTGAGGCGCTAAAACCTACCAACTTTGTAAGGTGAGCGGTTAAATGTTGGTTTTTGCCCATACAATTTTAGTCAAAATGTGTGCCCCTAACAAAGTTGCGTGTGCCGGTAACACAGCTTCATAGTGTCACCTTTCTCCTCAAAATCTGGAAGGTAGTTTTAGCCTTGAATCCGTGATATACATACCAACTCTGGGTAGGGATAGCATTCTAGTGGGAGGAGAAATATCGAGAAAAAAAAAGGAGAGAAAATGAGCAGAAATGCGGGTGGCGGCGACAACGCCAACGATTGCAGGGCCGAGCTTCTGTCGGAGAACGGTCGCACGTCTTGGCGTCTCAGCCTCGACAGCTTTCGCCTTCCCCAAAAAGGAAGCATCGACGGTAATGACAATGGCGGAACTCGCTTCCCCTGTGCTCCGAGTAAGTCCCATTGTTCATAACGTTTTTCTTTGGTGCCTTGTGTTTCTTTGGTGCCTTAAACAAGCAGTGGATTAAAGCAATGTACTTTTCAACACCTTGCAAATTTATTGTTCAGATAAACATAAGAGCATCATAGCAGATGGATTTTTCTTAGTAATGTATTTTCTTTAAAAAGTTTGAAACTTAAAAAATATATATGTATATATTTTTGAGGCAGAATTTTCTTGACAACTGTTGGAATAGGCCTAACACCCAAACAAGGCTGTGCATAACTGGCCTAGGTTACCACCTAGTAGCCCAAGTCGAAAGAGCATCAGTACAAGCATACCCACGTGACCAGCACCACGTGGGCCAATGGGATGCTCACATGTGCAGATGTATGTCAGCACCAAGGGGCTATAAATACCCCCAACTACCTCCGATGAAGGTAATTAATCTCTACGCTTCTCTCTCTGCAATTACTCCTTGAGAGCATATCTCTCTAGAATATTGAGTATTGCTGACTTGAGCGTCGGAGTGTTTTCCCGAGGAAACAACCTCAGGATTTTCAGGTGTAAAAGCAGCAGAGGACTTCAACTGTGTTGGATTGCGAAGCTGCCCAAACATTTGGCGCCGTCTGTGGGAACCCGAACAAGAAGTCGTGTGGCTTTACTGGCTGAAAGATAATATGGTTCGTACCTTTACAGGAGGTCGCCCTCCAAGAAATGAAATGGACGAACAGGAGGACACTCACGTATCTGAACCCGGCTTGAATGACTTTAGGCCAATGCCAAGAAATCTTTTTGTAGGGGGAGTCGAACAGGATCACTTAAGTGAAACAGATGATGAAAGAACACCAACTGGGTATGCAACCCAGCGTGAACAGTTCCAAGTTCCAACAGGAATAGGACAAAGACCTTCTAGACCATCCAATTCATAGCGTGAGCGACCTGAAAGGTCAATAGAGCCTGCTCGAACAACCGAGCTTGAAGAGAGAACCAAAGTTCTCGAGATGGCAATGGGTAAAATCCTTGCCCGTCTAATTCCTGATGACCCCCTAATTCCTTTGCTGAACAGGGATGCACAACCAGCTGCGGTTGTTGCAACTCGAAATTCCCCCGCTCTAAGCAACATAGCCATGCCGACTAGGCCAAGGGGAAGCGGAGAAGCTAAACCTCGAGCCCAGCTCGTCCAAACATAGTGAAGAACTGATGAGAAAGAATGCGGATCTTGAAAGATAGCTGCGAGACGTACAAAAGTCCATTGACGAGCTGAAAAGTCCCAGGTCGCACCAACAGACCCTGGATTTGGATAGTGCTCCACTGAATCTGTCCGTCACAGCAGAACCCTATCAAGAGGGATTCAAAATTCCCCACCTGGAGACATATGATGGCTCGGGTGACCCCGATGAACATCTGCACACTTATCAATCCATCATGAGAATTCAAAATGCAAATGATGCCATGATGTGCAAAGTGTTCCCAGCGACACTGAAATCAACAGCCAGGAGATGGTATCACAAGCTCCCCAGACATTCTATAGACTCGTACTCCCAGCTCGCCAAGCTATTCTCCAACAAATTCGCGAGCCAGAGAGAGATCAAACGCATAGCAACCGAGCTGATGCAAGTTAATCAAAGGGAAGGGGAATCTCTGAGGGACTACATGCAGCGATTCAACAAAGCCACTTTGGACATTGATAACATCCCAGATACCATCTGCCTGTCCGCCTTGCTACATGGTTTGAAGCGTGGCCGGTTCCTGGACGACCTCCTAGAAAACCCACCGAGGACTTGGAACGAAGTGAATGACAGGTCGGCTAGCTTCATATTATCGGAAGACTTCCAGTTGTCCAAGCGACGAGCTGACGATAAGCAGAGCAAAAGTCATGATCAGTCGACGAGGAGAGAAGAAAAGAAGAAACAGAAAGTCAGCGAGCAGTGGGGGAAGCTCGCTGACTTCCCCAAGTATGCCAACTACATTCCTTTAACCTTACCCAGGTCTCAAATCCTCGCGCAAATACAACACTGGGTTAGAAGACCCCCACCCCCACTGTATGAGTCCCCAAGGGCGGACAAGAACAAGCATTGTGACTATCATCGTACTTACGATCACAACACAGAAGACTGCCAACACTTAAAAGACGAGCTGGAATTCCTGGCTTGCAATGGGAAACTAGAAGGATATGTTCAGAAGCCCCACGCCCAGCAACCCACTCAAACTCATTTTGTACAGGGGTACGACCGGCCTCAGGGGCAGAGGTACCAGCTCGGCGGGGCACAGGATGTATATCAGGACAATCAATATCCTTTGGAGCAGGGCAGGGCGTACAGAGGGCGTCCGTTCAACAGGAGAGGACAGGGGCAGAGAGCTGCTACCCAGAACCAAAAAGACAAGAAAGGGGTAGGCTATGCTGGGATACCCTCGCCCTCGGGTACAATAAACATGATATCAGGTGGTGTTCACTCTGAGGGCCAAAGCGCCCGAGCCCGCAAGGCATATGCCCGACAAGTGATGACTGTCAACAAAAACAGACCCTTGAAGCGGCCGTTTGAGGAAGTAGAATGGGAGAATATGCCTATCACATTCAGTCCGGCGGATTACAAGCGGGCAGAAGGAGAGCTTGACATTATGATGCCCCATGCAGATCCCTTTGTGGCAACGGTTCATACAGGCAATCATAATGTCAATAAGGTGTTTATTGACACTGGTAGTTCACCAGACATCCTGTACTAGAGTTGCTTCCAGAAGATGTAGCTAAATCCGAGCTCGCTGCAGAAGCACGAAGGACCAATATACGGGTTTGATAACCAGCTCGTCCCGGTCGAGGGAGTTATCACTCTTCCTATATATGTGGGCTCAGAACCACGCTTCAGGATGGCTTCTGTCACCTTCCTGGTCGTTAAGATGGAATCAGCTTTCAATGCTATATTAGGAAGAGCCACCCTGTGCGAGCTGAAGGCTGTCATCTCACAACCCCATCTTTCCATGAAATTTCCAACTCCTCAAGGGGTAGGAGTGCTTAAAGGAAATCAAAAGATGGCCAGAGCCTGCTATCAAGATACTTTCAAAAAAGTTGAGCTCGTTGCTGCCCCTTCAGGCTCCGAAAATCGCAGACCAACCCAGCTCGGTCAGCAAACGATGAGCATATCAGATATCGAGCACCGACTTGATGGTGTCGAGCAGAAAGCAGAGCCAGTAGAGCCAGTAGAAACGGTTCCTCTAAACCCAGATGTGCCAGAAATGACGGTTAAGATCGGCACTAAGCTCACAGAAGAGGAACGTGCAAAGCTTCTGGAGTTTTTGAGGAGTAATCAAGATGTATTTGCATGGACTATGGATGAAATGCCTGGCATCCCAGCGGAGTTGACAGTCCACAAGCTCAGCATGGACCCCACTAAACGACCAGTAGTTCAAAAGCGTCGACTTTTTGGCCCTGAGAAGCAAGTTGCCATAGACGAGGAGATACAAAAGTTGCTACAGGCAGGCTTCATCAGAAGAGTGGAATACTTTGAATGGGTATCCAACCCTGTGCTCATCAAAAAGCCAAATGGCAAGTGGAGGATGTGTATTGACTTCACCAACCTCAATGATGCGTGTCCAAAAGATCTTCATCCCTTGCCAAATGTTGAAAAGTTAGTAGAACGGGCGGCCGGACACGAACGGATGAGCTTTCTTGATGTCAGTTCGGGTTATCACCAAGTCCAGCTGTTGTTAGACGACCAGGAGAAAATAGCTTTTTACGCTGGGGACGCAATTTACTGCTATGTGATGATGCCGTTTGGCTTAAAGAACGCTGGTGCAACATATCAGAAACTGGTGCAGATCATTTTTAAGCTACAGATCGGCAGAAACATAGAAGTATATGTGGATGACATGATAGTCACCAGTGTACGAGCTGAAAATCACATAGGCGACCTGAGTGAGACCTTTCAAAACTTACGCCGAGCCCAAATGAAGCTAAATCCCCTGAAATGCACATTTGTTGTAGAATTGGGGAAATTCCTAGGGTACGTGGTATCCAAGAAAGGAATTGAAGTAAATCCAGAGAAAGTTCAGGCCGTCCAACAGATGGAGCCGCCAAAGACTGTAAAAGAGGTGCAGTGTTTGACGGGCCGTGTAACTGCACTCCATAGATTCATAGCCAGGTCAGCAGAAAGATGCCTCCCGTTCTTCAAAGCCCTGAGAGAGCCCAAAAACTTTCAATGGACGGGTGAATGTCAGCAAGCGTTTGACGAGCTCAAACAATATTTGGCATCCGTGCCCCTGTTGTCCAAGCCTGTCCATGGAGAATGCTTATACCTCTATCTGGGGGTCACAAAAGAAGCGATGAGTTCAGTACTACTGAGGGAAGAGAATAAGAATCAGAAGCCTATCTGCTATGTGAGCAAAGTTTTACAAGGCGCTGAACAAAATTATCCATTAGCAGAGAAGGCTGCTTTTGCCCTGGTGTATACAGCTCGTAAGTTGAGAGCCTACTTCCAATCACATCAGATTGTTGTCTATATCGATCTGCCGTTGAGAAAGATACTACAAAAACCAGAACTCTCTGGTCGGCTTATTGGATGGAGTGTCGAGCTGAGTGAATACGATCTCAAATTTCAACCGCGCACAACCATAAAAGGCCAGGCCATTGCGACTTTCTGGTGGAATGCATCTCGGCGACGGAGGAAGCAAAGGCACCTGAATGCCCAGTCTGGGTTTTGTACGTAGATGGAGCTGCTAGTGTTGAAGGATCGGGGACCGGGGCTGTGCTAGTGGGCCCAGATGGCTTTAAGTCCGAGCATGCACTGAGGTTCAAGTTTCAGACAACTAACAACGCTGCAGAGTATGAAGCCCTTGTTTATGGTCTGAAGCTAGCAGCCGAGCTGAAGGTACAGAACATCCAAGTCTTCAGCGACTCTCAGCTCGTCGTAGGCCAGGTGAAAGGCAGCTATGAAACCAGGGATCCACAGCTTGGTCGTTATGCCTCTGTGGTAAACAAATTAAAGTCAAGATTTGCTTCTTTTCAGATCGACAAAATACCCAGAGCAGATAACCAGCGAGCTGACAAGTTGTCAAAGTTAGCCTCCTCGCAAGAGACCAACCCTCATCGGTCAACAACAGTGGAGGTACTCGATGCTCCGAGCTATACCGATTTCACAATCGAGTGTCAGCTGCTTAGCACGGATCCCTCTTCGCCGAGCTGGACTACCCCACTCATTAGTTATCTGCAAAGTGGCGAATTACCCGAAGATCTGTCCACTGCGAAATTGATTAAACGTAGGGCGGCACATTTCACTTTGTTAGATAACAAGCTCTACAAACGAGCAGTCTCAATGCCCCTACTACGTTGCCTTACTCCTTACGAAGCTGAATACGCTGTAAGGGAAGTTCACGAAGGAGTATGTGGCACGCACATCGGTGGCAAAACGTTAGCTCGGAAACTACTGAGGCATGGTTATTACTGGCCCACTATGGTCGAGGACATGCAGAACTATATCAAAAAATGTCCGACCTGCCAATTCAATGCTGATGATATACACATGCCAAGTATCTGAGCCTGTTCTGAAGATCATGCAAACTTCCTGTTTGTCTATAAACTGAGCATAAGTATCTTCCTTGAAACAGGGGAAATGCTATCATCTCTCACGTCTCCCTGGCCCTTTGCTCAATGGGGTGTTGACCTGCTTGGCCCTTTCATCAAAGGTAAAGGAGGCTGCACTTTCCTAGTCGTTGCAGTGGATTACTTCACTAAGTGGATAGAAGCTAAACCATTGTCCACGACAACAGAAAGGAAAATAGAAGATTTCTTGTTCAATTCAATATTGTGCAAGTATTCTTTGGTGACTTAGGTCATAAATAAGTTATATGCAAACATGGTTTGTAGCTCAGCTCGGTCATCTGTGTGCAGGTTCGGCATACCTAAACGGATTATCGCCGACAATGGGCCACAGTTCCGAGCAGCAGCACTAAGATCGTTTTGTAACGGCTATGGCATCGAGCTCGCCTTGACATCCGTGTATACTCTACAGTCTAACGGACAAGCTGAGTCGGCCAACAAAATCGTCTTGCGAGGACTCAAGGCACGTGTTTTAGCTGCACATTCAAATTGGGTTGACGAGCTCAATAAAGTGCTCTGGTCTTGTCGTACTACACCCAGCTCGGCCACTGGTGAAACCCCTTTCAGCCTGGCCTATGGAGCTGAGGCTGTCATCCCAGTTGAGGTTGGATTGCCATTTGATCGAGCGGGCTGGCGTGACGACCTCAACAATGAGCAACTGTTGAGAGAAAACCTAGACTTCATGGAAGAGGTCAGGGAGATGTCTAGAATAAGAAACATGGCGCATCAAAGTCGTGTTGCAAAATTTTACAATAAAAGAGTTCGAGCTCGCCAGTTTCAAGTCGGCGATCTGGTCCTACGTAAAGCTGGGTTAACTAACACTCATTTACACATGGGCAAGCTCGCTCCTAATTGGGAAGGCCCCTACATGGTTGTTCAAGTTAAACGACCTGGCTTTTATGTGCTAGCAGATATACAGGGACGTCAATTGTCTTACATTTGGAACATACAGAATCTTAGAAAATTTTACAGTTAACTTGTATACTATTCTTTTATTCAAGTTGTTATTCGACAGTTGTAAACAATGGTATACTGAAAATATAACAAAAATTCAAAGGAAAACTCATTTTTGTATTTCATCAAAGATGTTTACATTAAAGATACATATGATATGAATCCATTGATCAAATACAAAAATGCAAAAGCGAAATACAAAAGATTAAAAGAAAAAACCCTAAATCTAGTCATCCGTCAGATCGACGGGCATGGATGCGTCAGCAGCAGCTGCAGGAGAGCGAGCTGGAGGAGACCGGGCTGCGGGCTCAGAGGCTGGTGTGCTGACGGGCGAGCTGGCTGGCACCACAGCGGGCTGAGAGTTGGGCGAGGTGCTTGAAGGCTCCTGCTCAGCTACAGGAGCACCCTCTACCTATGCGTCAAAGGAGGGCAGCCCTATTGGATCCTCCCCATCCTCAAGGACCTGAGGAGGCCAAACAGGCACTCCCTCCTCGTTGAGGTCCCACCTCAACCGTACCGTGGCGTCGACAAGGGGG